TCTCTAAATTTTACCCTCGGGTGGCTCACCAAAGGGTGAGTCAACTTGGAATGACCACTTCCTTCTCTAAATTTTACCCCTGCCTTGCCCACAAAAGGGTGAGTCAAGTTGAAATGGCAACATCCTTCTCTAAATTTTACCCTCGGGTGGCTCACCAAAGGGTGAGTCAACTTGGAAGAGCAACATCCTTCTCTAACTTTTACCCCTGCCAACAAAAGGGTGAGTCAAGTTGAAATGGCAACATCCTTCTCTAAATTTTACCCCTGCCCACAAAAGGGTGAGTCAAGTTGAAATGGCAACATCCTTCTTTAAATTTTACCCTCGGGTGGCTCACCAAAGGGTGAGTCAACTTGGAATGACCACTTCCTTCTCTAAATTTTACCCCTGCCTTGCCCACAAAAGGGTGAGTCAAGTTGAAATGGCAACACCCTTCTCTAAATTTTACCCTCGGGTGGCTCACCAAAGGGTGAGTCAACTTGGAAGAGCAACATCCTTCTCTAAATTTTACCCCTGCCCACAAAAGGGTGAGTCAAGTTGAAATGGCAACATCCTTCTCTAAATTTTACCCTCGGGTGGCTCACCAAGGGGTGAGTCAACTTGGAATGACCACTTCCTTCTCTAAACTTGACCCCTGCCTTGCCCACAAAAGGGTGAGTCAAGTTGAAATGGCAACATCCTTCTCTAAATTTTACCCTCGGGTGGCTCACCAAAGGGTGAGTCAACTTGGAAGACCCTCTCACGATGTAAGTGCGCGAGCAACGACGAGCATACCTTTTTATGCCACGCAGTGCAATATTGGGCAGAAAAAGTCTGGAGCCAAATGATTACTAGAACTCCCCGACGATTACATTCGGTAACGCCCCGACGCTTACATTCGATACTAAAGGCCCCCGACAATTAAATTCTGTACTAAAACTCCCCGACGATTACATTCGGTACTAAAGCCCCCCGACAATTACGTTTTGTACTAAAACCTCCCGACAATTACTTTCTGTACTAAAACCTCCCGACAATTACTTTCTGTACTCAAACCTCCCGACAATTACTTGCTGTACTAAAACCTCTCGAAAATTACTTTCTGTACTAAAACCTCCCGACAATTACATTCTGTACTAAAGCCTCCCGACAAATACATTCTGCACTAAACCCTCCTGACAATTACATTCTGCACTAGGACCCCCCAACGTGACCTCTTCCCACAGTGCCGCATAAAAAAAAGAACCCTTAGCATAAAAAAAGAAACCATTAGCATAAAAAAGAAACCAGGAGCATAAAAGAAAGAACTGCAAGCATAACAGAAAAAACCATTAGCAAAAAAAAAAGCACTATAAGCATAAAAAAAGAAACCCATACCCCAAAAGCACACCAACCCCGCTGTGAGCATAAGAAAAAACAATTAGCATTAAAAAACAACACCCAGCCCGTAAATCATGGTTAGTAAATGAACGTAAATGATCGTTTCCAAAAAACAATGGTGATCATCATCTGACTGACGGTTACTCACAAATTATGGCACTCCCAAGTTTTTTGCTGCGATCGAAATGCATCCGCAACTCTGCAACTCTGAGACCTTCCATCTTTACATCACTCCAACATCGCCAGAGCTCCAATGGCAAAGCGAAGAAACAGCGCTCAATTCGACTTGTATAGACCCTCAAAAATAAACCGAAACAAAGGCCGAATTCGGTTGACTACCCCACAAAAGCCTGACTAAATCTTGCTTGACTCCCCCCCCTCAGAAGGAAACCAAACCTTCGGAAGTCAGTAAGAACCATCATGATCTCAGCCACATCGTCAAGATGCCCGGAAGTCCTATAGGTCCCAGGATCCACCCAACAGTCGTCGACGAGGGCCATCCCCGCGGCGGCACCAAATCCAGCCCCTGAGACCCCCAACAGTAGACGTCGTAGAGCGTCCCTCGCTCCAACTCCGCCAGGCTCGCGTCGTTCTGCGTTCGCGTTCCGATGTGGCAGAGGAAAACCATACATTCAAAGACGTGGATGTCGCGTTCCAACGCCAGCGAAAGACGTGGGCCGGTTCAATTTTGGAGGTGATTCACCAATCGTTAGCATCTGGATGGCTGACGCTGAAATCACCGGCAGGTGGTTCAATGTATGAGCTTGCAAGCTGGTCGTCTGACGTGGATTTGAGTCAGTTGGGCACGGTTGTATGTGGTGGAGAGCAGTTTAGACAAAGGACAAACACGTAGAAAGTTCAAGTGGTGATAAGAAAATCAAATGACTTCCAATCACGGTCTAGTAGAGAGAACCTTCAACTGATCGTTTGATTTTGTATTGCATGTTGATGCATTTTGGGTGTCTGATAGGTTCCAGGCAATATCAACAAGGAATCAACAACACCATGCATATACAACGACAACATCTTTAATGGCATCAACATACCCAACATCCAAAAAACTCAAGGCACTCCATGAAACTAGAAATGAGTGCTGGACAACATCCTGTATCTAAGAACATAGCTTAAAACGGCTCGGCATCTGATCAGTTTTGCAGGTTTTCAGGTTTCGTCCTATCCCACTTGTCACTGTGTGACTACAATTGAGTCTTCGCAGTTTACACTCCAACTCAAAATCAGCTCTAAGAGAAACATCGAGCGAGAAAACAAAACAAAGCTCTCACGTCACAGACAGAACACCTGGATGTCCGTTCACACCTCCAAGCGAGAGAGGTCGATGGTCGCCGAGGTGAAGGTATCTCCCAACTGGTCCGCATAGTAGTCGGCCTGGCACCAGGGAGACCACCGGGAGGCCGTGGAGAGGTCTGGCACGTTGAGACACCTCAGAAGGCCTGGCAGGTCATTGACCCGTTTGGGCGACACCCGGACCTTATCGTTTCGGTCGGACGGATTGGGGTGGGTGATACCTTAGGAGCAAGGAAAGACATCTTCCATTGGCGATCCAAAGAAGTCTGGTGACGGTTAGGGTGGGTGCCAGGAGGATATCTTTCACCACCTTCTGAGGATACGGTTGGGGCCTTATAGGGAAATCTTTCATCATTCATCTGAACTGAACAAAAGAGAATATCTTCAGACTCAAGATCGGATTGGTACTGCCGGCATATTTGGAATTCTGGTTCGCTTGTAGTGAATGGAACTGTTCCCAATAGAACCATCAGTAACTGAATGGCATGGATGTTTACAATCAACAAAATCATTGACAAAGCAAACTGCCAATAGAAAAGTCCTCTACTTCTCCATAGCTTCTGTAGCCTCCTTTTTCCTTATAAGCCATCCATCTTCCTTCATCGTTTTCAACCCCCCCAAACTTGGGGTTTCCTTTGGATCAGGGCTCCAGGGCCGCCGCTGGAGCCCTGGGCCGTTGCCGGCCATTCGTGGAGCCCGGCCCGGGCGCCTTCAAGATGCGGTTGATGCTCAAGCTGGACTCCCCGGAGTCGCTCCGGGTCACGCGGCAGTAGGAGCGACAGGCCTCGCGTGGCGAGACACGCGAGACACGCGGAAGATCGTCGCATGACGTGTGCGTCACACGGTCATGGCTGGCCGTTGTTGGGCGTGTGAAAAAACAAAGGGATTCCAGGTGCAGTGAGGTCCTTTTGGACATCATTAGTGGGGTCAGGTTGGTACCAAGACCCATTGATTGTTCACTACTTTGTTCCGTATCCACTCTATTAATCAATCAACCACAAGTTAAAAGGCGTCACCATCTATGTTGCGGTCTCACCGCGGTCGGTTTAAGGGAGAAAAATTGAGAAAAGCTGCTCGGATGGACAGGATGTCCTCCTTATTTTCTTATTTTCTTTATATATATATGGTATCTGCAAACCTATATTTCAACAAAAGGATTCAACAAGTAGTATGGTCGTCAATCATCACCTAACCCCCTGTACTCCAAATGTACTTCCGGAAGGGCTGTGGGGCGCGACAGACTGTTCACAAGTTGGCTTTGGATCCATTACTTTTAATACTCCATAGGGATCCACATGCCTTCTCAGAAGGTACTTGGGCTCTCCTGGCACCTACATAAGAGTATCTTATAATCACCTTCTGAGAAGGTACGACTGGATCCCTATAGAGATCTGTCTGTCTTGTCAAACTACCCCCGGGCGCGGCTCTCCTTTTTCCTGCACAGCGATCTGCGCGTCACGCGCGATCTGCGATCGGGCGATGAAAGCGCGGGCGATACGCGCTCGGCAGGGAATCGCGTCAGGGTCGAGATTCCGAAGTCAGAATGGACAATATCAAAACCGAAAATTATTTTGGAACAAATATATACTATATTCAGAAAATCCATGTCTAAATAGTATAAACAACTATTCAGAAAGTCTCATGTTATACTGGCCTCAAGTTCACCAATTTCATAGTGGACATGTTGATCAATGACCCAAAAATCAGGGAACGCAATCTAGTCTAGTATTTGGGGTCCTGTGCAGTCCTTCCTGAATAAGGAGTCCCAAACTCAAGAACATATATCTCCCCAGGGGTCTCCAGGTCAGTTGTTCCCACCAAAAATGAACAGAATCAACGACCATAGACTAAGACATGGTCGACCTAGCAGGGTTTGTTTGGGGCTGAAAAGGTTTTGACTCAGTTTGGGGCTTCCGTTCTGAACGGCCCTGCCATTCAACCCTGACCCGAACCGTCTTTATGGACGGATCGTAGTTGATGCAGCCATGCCAAAGTGCAGTCGTAGGACATGTCCTGCAGTGGAAACAAAGGATTGGCCCGGTGCAGTTGCGAAAAAGGCGTGGCTGGATTTTTGCAGTAGCAGTGGGCGAGCAATCGAACCACCCCAAGTCTTTTGAGTCTTGAGGTTAGTAAAACTCATGATTTGGGGTAGGATATAATTAGCATTGATACGTATTCGGATATGCCAATGATGGGTAGCTTCTAATTGGCCAGTCAGTGGGGATTTAATGACCATTGTCCTTCTCAAGACACACTAAATACCCATCGACACACCTGCAAGTTAAGGATACACCTGCTATACAGGTCGTGCCACGCTCCAGGTCTATCAGTAAACCATTGTTGGTTTCTGCTACAGATACATGCAATTAAACATGTCAAATCCACTCCAGCCATCTCCAGCCCAAACCCAAGGTCCATGATCCAAACCTCCATTAAATCATTCTCCCCCTCCCTCCCTCGTCCCGTGAAACCCACTCCCCCCATTCCGCCGCGCCGTGCTCCCGCCAAAGCGCCGAAAGGTCGCAGTAGACGATCTCGAAGGTGTGGCGCCCACCAGGGATTTCCAGCAGCTGATCGCAGCTTCGCAGTCCCACGCCGCCTGCAGCGGTGGATGGCGCTGAGTTCGGCGCGGACACTCTTCTTTCTCTGGCATTTGTATGACACCTGCTCTTGGAACCCCACCACTGCTTGCAAACGTTCGGTCAAATCACGTGTCAAAGAACTCTCTGTTGTGCGCTTTGTAACATAATATGCGTGATCTTCATGATTTCCATATGATATATCAATGTTTGGAATCTCCGGGTGGTGGCTGTGGGTCTGCAGGAGTGCCACAAACTGATTGTTGTCTTCCCGCCCAAGTACGTAGAAACATAGAAACCAAGCATGACAAAAAGAAACATGTTAGTGGCATCATGCACCTAGAAAAGCACAATAATTATTCGCGCTAACATGGAACTTAGTCAGATTGATCTCAGCAATCTCCATGTTAGTGCTGACAACTTGTGATTGGGAGGCATTTCCATCCAGTTCCATGTTAGTTTTGGTGCCTTTTTCACTTTCCCTCCAGGAAGCCAGTGCAGAAGTTCCTTCCGTGGCCCAGTCATTCGACTTACAACCCCAAAGTGCAAAACCCCAACAATGGTAAGAGGTTGGGTGTGTCCCATTCCCTGTAACAGTGGATGTTTGTCATTGGTCAGTACAGGCCTTTCTCAAACACATAGTGACAATCTTGCATTGACCGTTGCAGGTCAGGGGACACACATGGGAGGTTGCAAGCGTCAATCACATGATGTCAAGATGGACCTTGAATAGATGCCTGTATGACGGTCTATGACGGTCTATGCATGCATCACCCAGAAAACGGCCAGCCACTCGGCAAGCCAAATACCTGCAAGAGCTTTTTGATCAACAAAACGCCTCTGTTCTCCCATGTTGAAAGAAGTAGCGACTGGGTTTCATCCCTGAGAGGACATCAACAACACCAAACACTTCCCATCATTTCATGACACCAAACACTGCAGGAGTGCTTGTCTGCGTCACCGGTCACCACCCCCAAAGGTCGAAGGGAACACGTCGGTCACCGGTGAACCGACCTTTGAAGTTCAACGGCCGCGTTTCGCTGCACGTTTCGCTGCACGTTTCGCATCGTGCGTCTTGCTGCGCACGTTTGCAGCTAGAAGCTGCGCACGAAATCTAACAAGCTCCCAGAATGCTCCCACAGGTCCGTTTTGTTCAATGCTGGTCTGGTCACTCTGATTGTACAGAATGTGTTCCTTCTTCCAGAAGAAAGCCCTCGAATTTGAAGCTGTTTGGTTCGAAGGTTCCGGAGGTCACTTCCAGCAAGATGCTTTTTGCCAGGAAATTGCAATTGCATGGGAGAAGTGCTGTCTCCTCAATATAGCCATGCTCCTCAGAACGGAACACCACTTGCATATCCCCTGAGCCGCCCTTCTTGAAGCAAGATATGGAGAAGTGAGTACCTTCATCTATATCACTTCGAAAGTACATAGCCTGTAGCTTGACTGCAAAGCCAGGAAACCTCCATGCCACCCAGTGCCCTGCGTCAAGTTTTACCTCGCAGCAGTTGCTTTGAACTGCTAAATTGATTTGGACCTCATGTGGGATGTTGACACGGTCTTGGACAACCACATTCACCCAGTCTGATAGGAAAACGTCTTCCCAGCAGTGTTCTCCATGTAGATTCCGACAGCAGCTTCCGAGATGACCAAGCACGTCAAACACATATTCACCGCGAATGGTCTTCGGTCTGACAGACTTCAGGAATTGCAGCTCAGGCGTCAACAGCATCGTCTTGATCTTTTCACCTGAAACATTCTCTAAGCAAACATACTTCTCAATGAGATCTCTCTTGCTAATGTGACCTTCATCAGCTTCCTTCCACTCCATCAGGAGATCCAGCAACTCTTCATCGGAAAGGCACAGGAAGTCGGAACCAAGCACTTCGTGCACAAGTTCGTCACTCACCGCCGGGCGTTCCTGCAAAGCCCTCTTCGGACACATGAGCACGGCATTGAAGGCCGCCTCCCGAAGGGCATCAAGTCGAAAGCTGTCTGCAGCAATGAAGATATCCCAAGCATTTGATGACAGCTGAATGTGTAGGAGATCATTGCCTTGGCTTATTGTACCAGGTTGTCAGTGAATCTTTGCATTACAGCCCCCGACCCAACAAGAAACTGAAACAAATCAAAACACAAAACCTGTTAAACGTCTTCAAGTAAACCAGTGCAACATATTGCCACTAATTCATCAATGTGTGTAATTGCTGGGATGCATTTCCTCTGAAGAACTGCAAATGCAAAACAAGCATATCTGTAATGAAGACTAATAACTAGGGAACCTGCATTCACCACCACCGTTTTGGGCCATCAAATCTCTCCAGCAAAGTGGACCAACCATTCCGAAGTCACAGTGGCGGGAGAGCTCTGGCACTTGGTACTTGTCAGCAATCACCATCACTTCCACGAGTGTTTGAACGTCCACATTCAAAGTCCCTGAGTAAAGGAAACGCAAAAAGACCTCCATCGCATGTGATGAGAAGTCTTTAATGACCTTAGTTCTGCTCCATCATGGCGGATCCTCCCAAATCTACTAAACATCAAACGAAGGCCATGTGGCATGTGACTTTCAGTGCCGAGCAAAATTATTGACATGTCCCATTGCTGTCTGTGTTCCACCGCACAGACAAGGGATGACAAGGGTAGCCTTGCACTTAGGCACGAAAGATTTCTTTCTTGACCATTCTAGTCGATGCCAGTCCCCATCAATCCTCAACGCTCCCAGCTGCGGGGAATTCTGTGACCACGCCGAGTTTCCTTCAAAAGGGTATAGGTTGACCATTAACCACGTGTTCATGGGCTGAGCAACCAACAAATCGCTCTAAGAGGACCTTTTTTGGGTAGGACTTCCTGGTGCATCGCTGTCCAAGTAGCAACTTGTCCCTGTGTCTGCTCCTCAAACTCATGAAGCATCATCTTCTCAAAGACTTCAGACCAAGAAGACAAAATAACTGAGGACACCTCGAGTGGCAAAGCAGCTCCGCAAAGCAGCTGAGACAGAAACAACACCAGGAAAAGCCAACAGTTCCTTCAATCACCGAGGTTTACCATGATTTTTGTTTGAAACCTCGCTGCGAAACGGGGCCCACAACAAGCAGGTTGAGTAGAAACGTAGGACTTGGACGTTGCAGGCGAAGCCGCAAGATTCCACTGGTCCATCTAGAAATCGTACGCACGTCCAGTCTGACCCAGGTCCCAAGCTGGTCAAACTTACCTCCTTAAGGTCCTTAAGTCATGTTTGTTTTTTAATGAGCACGTCCAGTATAATGAGGTCAAGCTGACCTGCAATTAGGAAAACTCTCCGACCTTGAACTCCGTCCGCGTCTTCTCCGAAGCTTTCTCCACCACCACTCTGAAGCTGCCCATCTTTCCAAAGGCGGTGGAAAGCTTCTCTGCGACCTTGGATGGGCTGAGAGAATACCAAGCAAGATCAATTATAACACTGGATACTCTCCCTGGAATTAACATGGAAGTGGAAAACCATGTTAGTTCCAGGGAGTGTACGCCTTTTAGGAGTCCCAAAATGAGCCCCGCTGAAACAGGCCAACGAAACCCATTCCCTCTTCGTGCAATCTGTGACCATGGCGCCACTGTATTGCACCGATCCGCCACAACGACGAAGAGTGGGGCGCCACGGGTGCTGGAGCAAAAAAAAATGGCCCACAAATCAACCAGCAGAATTGTACGTAGCGGCACAGGGAATAAATAAACAGCTGGCCAGGTCACCAACATGTGTTTGCTCCGGTGAGTACAAATGCAATGACCCTAGGATGCCAGAAATACGTCTCAACTCCCAGAGACGGTCACTGCGCAGGTGTTTTCAAGACATGTCCAGGAAACACTGAAGTTCCATATTCATGTGGAGAAGACGAGAAGACGCGGATGGAGTTCAAGGTCAGAGATTTTCACTACAGGTCAATGACCTCATTCTACTGGATGTGGTCATACAAAAATACTACTTAAGGAGGTAAACACCAGGTTTTACTGGGTCAAACTGGACTTGTAGGGGGTATAATGCAAGAACTAAATACCGACTTCTGCAAGCAGTTCAGGATTCATCCCTCTACTTTCTTTGAAAGTCCCCTATCGGTTGTATCATATGCATTTGGTCAAGATACACTCGAGGATCAAAAGAAGAACAAGAGAGGATCAACATATATAGATCACTCGAGTCCGGGACAAACAACAAACACCCGCGTCACGAACTGGCAAAGCTTGACACCTTGCGTCCAAAAATAACTGTGCTTTACACATGACACACGGCATTCTCCATTTACTCGTCCTTCACGAAGGTAGGGAAACTTCCGACAGCAGAACACCATTTAAGAGAATCTAACGCCAGGATCAGAATCCCCTCCTCCAGATTGGTATGGGAATCAAGATTAACTTCTTTTGATGGAAATCCTCGACCTGGAAACTTCTTCCCATCTATCTTCTCGCCTTCCTCACTGAGCTCTGCCAGCGTCTTCAGGAACTCTCGGCTATGCTCCACAGGCACCACTCCATCCCTCTCCCCATGCACCACCAGGGTCGGAGGCCTTGGACGAAACGCTCGACAATACCCCGCTGAAGACGATCCCATGGACCCTGAAAGCCACTGGTTGGCATAGGAAAACAGTCTGTAAAGGGTCCCATTCCCAACATCCGGTGGATTCCAAGCAGTCATGTCACCACATCTCATTGCTTTCTTCGTTGCTTCCCAGAAACTCAGTAGAAGTCATGTATTGTATCATTCCATGAAAACAAAAAAACGTAGCCCTTGGTTCTGCTGAAGTCATCAAAGCCTGAAGGACTTCTGGAGACAAATCTTCTGCAGTTGCCACCATTCATGTTTGGATGAATTCTCTTCAAGAGGAAAATCACCTCAAACAAGACCCATAAACCATCCACCAATGCTGCAAGCAAACATCCAACCTCCTACAACAAAAAAAACAAAAAACACATCCTCCAACATCTTCCACAACACAACACAAAGCCACGTTGACTTCCAAACACCACGTAGTTCGGTATCTTTTAATGTCTAAATGGTTTCAGTTCCACAATACCAAGCGTCCATGCCGCGGCTTGCTCCTTCCGCAGCTCCTGGAGCTGCTTCAGAGGCTCGGCGGAGCTCCAGCAGTGGCGTTGGGATTTCAAGACGAAGAACTCGAAGAACCATTCCTGGGCGAAGCTTCGGGCGTCCTTCGGTGAGGGAACATCTGACCGTCAGCGGTGGAACAAACCCGGGAAGGAGGCCGGATGATTGATTGCCACCAGAAAAAATGAAGCGGATTTGAAAGACCTGAACGAACTGGAGGAGATTTGAGATATATTCAAGTCATGAGATACACCATACAGTACTGACTCCAGTAGCAACAAATGAGTGGAAAATGGGTTCCCGTATCCTCCATTAAGCCGCCCTGACTAAAACTGCCGAGCATCCAGCGCGCTCATCTGGTATCGCACGCCCAAAAGAGAGCAAGAAAAGGGCAAACGGACCTGGGCGAGATCATGCAGAGTTTTTCTTTCCTGAAGGCAAACGCCCACTTTTTCCGTGAAGGGGGTTGAAGGGGGTTGAGCCATCATGGACAACTTGACAGCTTGTTCCTTTCCAGCAAATCCTAGCACAAAAAACCTGTAGGCCGGTAAAGGGGTTTGTGCCTAAAACGCAAAACCCGGAGTCCATCCCATGGATCTTCCAACAGTGCAAGGTTCGGAATGCCTGCGGAACTTGGCTCATTTCATAGATGAAACATGATGAAACACAAACGAAAAGGCAAACATGTTGCATCAACCAGATCCGAGCCTCTCAACGAGTTCACCTGGGCCGAGAACGAGTTCACCTCCATGGGACCCTCACCTTCACCAAACGGAGGCGCCGTGGAGCGGCAGCGGTCCGCCGGGTCCAGCGCCGGATAGAAGAGCAGCGCCGCGCGGAAGGTCCTCGTGCGGACCGAAGCGAGCGGATACGCCAAGCAGATAGCGCCAAGAGTCCTGGGACTCGTTTTCTATATTTTCTAATAAATGTATGTATATATAGTATATATATAGGGGCAAACAGAAACATTCAAAAATTTGTGTTTATTGTTTGTTCCACTCTTGTGTTGTGACATACATCGTGAACAGGCATCAACCGTAGTGGTCCTGGATCTTTCAACGGTAGTGGTCCAAAATTGTCGAGCTTTGGCTGGTTTTATAGATCAAAAAACATATTTTCTTGTACACCCTAGGGCTCCAGTCGCACCTCCTCAAACGTTATGACTGGACCCTTTGAATAGTGACCTTCACCAGAACTCAGAATAATATATAGGATCTGGATGGATCTGGAGCAAAGTCAAGCACGCATCTTGGACGTTCTCTCCTTTCGCAGTCCCACATGCCATCTTGGCAAACACACGCATGAGAGCCTCAGCATCCTCAGCTCTCAATCTTCCTTCAAGTTGAAATCTTCTCCCTTCAAGGAGAAAGTGCAAAAAGCCCCACTGGTCGTCCCTTTAAATTTGTGCATCTAGTTCAACCCGACAGAATGGCAGGACAGTGCAACGTTCAGGAAGTTGCAACATGTTCTCCACCCAACTCCGCCCAGCGGTGGATGGATAAAAAAGACCTGCACCAGGAGGGAACGAGAAACCCCGCAAGTATCTGCAGTGGATTGAGCATCGATCTGGTCTGATTGTTACAGGGATTGGGACACCCAAACAGGTCTCAACTAGATCCCTCAAACGCTTTCACATGCATTTGGCGCAGGTGGATGCACTGGGACGGCCCAAAGGCATACGCCCGGCCTGGCCGGCCTGAGCGGACCACTCTTGCGTGATGAAAAGCACCGGAGTTCTCTGACTTTCGAGTGCACTGGGTCGGAGTTCTCTAGGTGTCAGTGATGGTTCATCTGGCAAGACAGTTGGTCCAAGCAAAACAGAAAAAAGCATCGGACCATCCAGTCTTTCCAAACATCTCCAATACAGAATGATCAAAAAGATCATTCCCAGACGCTCATGGACCCTCCTAAGTAGGGGCCGGACCCTCAAATCCCCAGGGTTTTGAGGGACCAAGAGCTGTTTGGAGCGTCTGGGCTAGAACTTTGAACGCACTTGGAGAAACAGGGAAGCTTGGCAGTCCGCAAATGTTCAACCCGTACGTCTCATGCGGCACCCGCCCCAAATCTCTCACTGGAGTCTACGAAGAGCCAACGCCTCCGGAGGAGTGTCTGTGTCAAACATCACCAACTGGCTGCAGTGGTTCAAAACAAGACTCAGTAAGCGGCAGGGTTTGGCATTCTATGTTCTTGCGTTTTTTCAGGGATACCCTCAGCGGTTTGTCTGAAGTCCAGTGATTGTTTTGGTCCGATGGTTCTGGATTTCAGTTTCTCGATCGCAACCCATCACCCAATGGAAGAATTCGACCAACCAAGTTCTTGCATAATTACCTGAGGTAACTGTTACTGAACAAAACACCTGCGCCAACCGATTTGTTCCCTGAAACATTGACACAAAATATGACTCATTTAATTGAGGGCACCAGTGTAGTAAGCCTGTACATAAAATAAACATATATAAACAGTGTCGGCAGAGGCGGCACCTTGAGCTGCGTCACGTGGGTGTTCTAGATGTTCCAGCGAAGCGGCAAACCTTAGATGTGCCCAGCACCAGGAGTCACCCACTGACGGATGCGTGCCCAAGCAATAAACCCTAACTGGCTTGGGCATGCTTGGGCAAGGACGAGGACATCGTGACCTTTGACCAGGTTGGTGATAATTTCAGTGAGCGTAGTACTCTGGCCAAGAGACTCAGCATCAAGCCGTCCCTTGATCAACAAACGGACGTAGGGGTCCTCAGCGGCCATATATTGAAGCACTCTATGGCGTTCGGCATCCTCAGTTGTGCACCAATTCAACATGTACCTGGAATGCTGTCTACCTGAAAGCACAGCTGCAATACTTGTGATCAACTCAAAGTCATGCAAGTCAGTAAGATTCTGAGACTCTGGCGTTTGGGCGCTGAAATATCACATCGAGTGTGAGTTTGCACGTGTCCCGCACATGTTTGGTCGGGCGATGCCGCTGGACTGGTTTTGTGGGTTCATGGTGGCAAAAGCAGCAAGCGGGGTGATGTGCAACCATAGCTGCTCGCAAAATAGACACAAGGATTGCACTTGGCATTGTGCCTGTGGACTGCTATGATCTGATCATCTGGAGTTGCATGCCTAGGAGTTGCGGTTGGATCTGGACAAGAACACAAAGCACTGCATGTGTATACCGGAACTGCTTGTCACAAGCACTCTTCACACATCTCACTGAGTGTTGAGAGAACTGGGGCGCCATGCCACAAAACTTGACAAATCAGATTAACTCGCCAAGGTTGCCCCTCTTCCGTCTGCTGCGCTTTCTTGTTCACGACATTGTCGGCAAGGTTCGGGGCCTGTTTGGCCTCTGCGATTGCTGAAACGCTCGTGCCTTTCAAAGGAGGCAGCTCTGAACACGGCTTGTCACCAGGACACCAAGAGATGCCACGGGAGAAACTCTCCTGGATTGCCGGAAACATCGGCAGGACATGTAAGAACAAATCCCAAAGGGTCTCTTCGATTCATTTATGTCAACTGCCTTCCTTCTTTAAAGCCAAATGGCTGGCTGTAGCATGTCTTTTACGTATTGCACGCACACGTCTCAGCAAATCTATTACCCTAGGGCTCCAGTCGGACCTTCTTAGAAGGTGAGACTGGGGTGGGCTTAGAGGGTCCAAATACCTTCTAAGGAGGTACGACTGGAGCGCTAGGGTTAATGAACATTTTCCCGTTTCTCCGATCCCGCCCTCTTTCTTCGATCCAACATGTTCCACCCGTGGTCCTGAGGCTCACGGAACTCGAGAAAAGTGTTCTTGAGCTGAATCTCTAGTTGGCGGGCCATGGCACAAACGGATCACTCCGGGCAAAATACAAGAACTTCCGGCTTCAAAAAGCACAGGAGGCTGCGCATGGCATGCACAGTTCACATCACATGCCATCCTGATCATCCTGATCTTGTCAATGACCCAACATGCACAGCCGAACCACCCGAACCACCCAAACCGTGGGCACTTGGCACCCGCCGTCCGGTGCCCCAAGGTGCTCACGTGCCCACTCAGCTGGGCTGTAGGTCAGCCACAACGACTGGTGCGGAAGAAAAAAAGCGCACTCCCCATACATCCATGGGTACAACTATGGTACCAAATGTGAAGGGGGTGAAGCCAAAACACAGAATGGTCGTAGCAATATTGCAACGTATGAGGTGATTAGCTATGCAGTTAAATCTGAACACGGCTGGAAAGACCCCGTTTGCATTTAACTTATGACGACAAGACAGGCAAACACGCATGCACAAATTGCTGATCGTGAACGATGTAACTATTGCGGAAAGGGATCGACTGCAAAGGATTTTCTTTAGCCTTAGCATCCCATTCTTTCCAATTGAGTGACAGATGGCTGGAAAGTGATGTCTGCTTGCTGCGAACATTGTATGTGTGACACTGTGTGACCTAATTACTTGGAAGCTCGTTTGCTGCTTACCCGGAGGGTGGTTCCGAAGCTGGGCTAAGTCTAAGTCAAAGCTAACCACCCTCCGAGGTTTTGACCAATTCGCGTCGACCTCGGTCCACCAAAGGTCTCAGGTGTCCGGTCCCCGGCCACAGCCACCCGGCCACCCGGCCAAGGCCGTCCGTAGATGGGAAAAGCAAGAACGAGGAGGTCATCCGGATGGTGAGATCAAACCAAAAGACAGTGTAGCACAGTATGTAAACCTAATGTTTCCAATGGGTGTATGGTGTAAATATATACTAGTGACATGAACGAAAATTTTCAAACTCGGGTGGTGGCGTACTCTTGGCCGATTCTGGTAATCTTTTTTGGTTGCCAATATGCACCTACAAAAATACATTAAACCAATACCAAGAGTTGTGAACATCCTGCACAGACCAGTCTCACTGACTCATTGGATGGGCAAACTACTTCTCCAAGGGTGACGATGGTGCTACCCTCGGAGAACGGACGCCTGCCCTCCCTTCCCTTCAAACGGACCCGGACCCGTCGCGAACGCGGAACCACGACGCCCCTGACCGGTCCGCAGCGCTCCGGGATTGGTTCGCCTTGAGAAAACCCCTTTCAAAGGCCGAAAATCGGATTGCTGTCCAGGAACCTGGAACAAAATGCCATCTGAACAGTAGCAAGCTGAAGGGCATGAAGGCAGGATTTTTTCCCCAGCGGAAAATACATACCATTCTGCGGAAAACATGCCAAACTATGCACCAGAAGGGGATGACCGACATGTTCGGGAAAATAAAAAACCATCACCTGATCTGCAAAACCAGGGTTACCACACACAGGCACTCCCAACCAGCACGTTCAAGTCTAGTTACTCTTTCTGACACGTCACCACTCTTATTCGGACACGTCAGGCGCCGACGTTGAGCGGAACGAACATCGGTTAACAGGTTCGTCAGTCAAACCGACCACTTCTGGTAGTTCCATCCACACGTATACAGCTACCAACCAATAGCCAGAAGTAAGGTTTGACCAACTTCTTCTGGAAGTAAGGCTACCAAGTATCCATACAGCTACCAACCAACTTCATAAATCTTAATATACATCTCCCCCTCGCCCCCCCCACCACCTCAACGGCCCAGGCCACACTGGCAGCGGCAGCTGCTTCTTCACCGCCTCCGCCAGCAGCAGCGCCACCAGATGTCCGCCCGCCGAGGCGCCCGCGATGGTCAGGTCCTCCAGGTCGCCGTGGAACTGCGCCGCGCCTTCCTCAGAGCCGGAACGGCGTGCCAAGAAGCAGATCAAAACCGGATGAAAAACAAAGCAAATGGTCCTACCACGATGGGGTTTCACCCACGAACATATTTAAACACGACAATCACTATAGCAATTGCCAACGCACCCCACCGAGATGTGTGCGCTATAAACCACACTTTGGGTGGTGCTGGTAGATACCTTAGTGATTGCATGAGATACTTCTATAGGATCATCTGTTCTACCATGTTCTACCCCTTTTTGTGCCGTTTCAAACAGGGAGATGCACCAAGCGATGGCACCCAAGGCACTGGACACGTGACTATAGGGATCGTACGTCGTGCCGAACCTCGGCACCTGGACCCGACTGGCTGGCACCCACCCCAGTCCCACCTTCTGAGAAGGTACGACTGGATCCCTATATAACATACACTTCTTTTGTTCAAGACTAGGCCATATACTAGACCTGTGCATGGAACTCTTCCCAAAGCACTTTCCACGTCAAAGACCGGGTGAACCAACGTGATGAGTTGTCCAGCCCATGCCCACATGTACACACCGAGACCCTTAAAAACAGGGTGTATACATCAAGTCCGGCTCCCGACGGAGACGGCGTGTTGTCTTGTTTGTATTTTTCGCCGAACATCGAGCGACAGGCACGGGCAAATCAGCCGAAATTGCCAATATCGTTGGAGGGATAGAAATCGGTAGAAACCTCAACAGCAATACCTGGTTCTTCCATGGTCTTCCAATGATGCAAACACCGACATGCGGCTTCTTGTGGTGTTTTTGAGATGAAGAAAACAACATGTTATTGTTGGAAGATCCAGGTATCTCCAAACGAAGAAGTGATCTTGAATCACTTTACAAATCACTTGAAGCAATCCACTCTGGGATGTGCTTAAGACACCTTGGACAAATAAAAGACATCAGCTTAAAACCAGGCACTCGTTCAATCGCTCTTAGGCTGGAGGCCATCGCTACTAGGGTGGAGGCCATTACTGCTAGTAACAAGAAGCTACTAGGGTGGGGTGGAGGCCATCGCTACTCGTTCAATCCCTTTTTTGCACCCATTCTCGACGAGCCAAGTGACGCGCACCAGCCACATGAGCGCCGCGCGGCAGTCGTTCAGCTGAACAGGCCATTGAGCACCCCGCCGGCGACGGTATTCGCAAGAGACGATCAGGAAGCCTCGAGTCCAGACACTCCAAACGCTCAATGTACCAGGAAGCCTCGACACTGATCGACTGCATGTATTCAGGTTCTTTTTCTCTCGACTTGGCAGTCTCAAGAAAACTGTTAAGGGTAAACCAAGGGGATACACAAACTGACAGTTTCAAATATATATATATATATATTCATATATTACACAAACTGACAGTTTCAGTTCTTACACAGCTACACCAATCCACTGCAGTATATCAAAACCACCAGAAACCCCACATGGCCCATCAAAAACCTTGTTTTCCCGAACGCACAAACACATGGTTGTTTGTATGTGAAAACCTCGACGGTTTTTCATGGTTGGCTTCGGGCTCCTCGTTTGGTTGGCATGTTTGGCTGTTCCTTGTGCACGTTGCGAAACCAAACGAGCTTGGTTGGTGGTATGACCCAGGGCACACGGCACTCGGTGACAAATGACCGATCACACCGTCCCATAAACCGGCTTCCCAACCAAGGAGACAGCCGCGACCATTACACCAGGAAAAAAACGCTTTTGGCATCGGGAAAAAACAAAAACTTTTCTGTTTATCTTTTTCCCCCACTAGGCAAACAAAAACATGGGTGATTTTGTATGTGAAAACCTGTCAGGGCCGGTCCAACACAACTCTGCTGCGCTCGCGAGCGAAACGGACTCTCTTGCGCTGGCACCATGGCTCGCTCCGCGTGGCACCGGATGGGACCGATGGTCTACGGTCTACGGCGTGGTATGGATTCGCGTAGCGACCGGGCGAAGTATGTGGACTCTTGATTCTTAAACCCCCTTTGGAGTGTAGGGAGGGAGTGTACAATGGTATTGATTCGCTACTGTACGCTACTGCACACGCTACATTAGCTAATGTGGACTCTTTGGAGTGTAGGAGGAAGTGAACATTTAGAATCTAAGAGTCGTAGACTCTCCGACAAACGCCGCGCGACCGACCTCCGCGCCTTGCGCGGCCAGGGTCTGCCAGATGGGCGACTGCGGGCTGATCCGTGCCTCGCCGCCGCGCCAAGCGCCCCCGTGGAGGTTCAGCAGAATGGGCCGGAGAGGCTGAGAACGCGAAGGACTGGAAGCTCCTGGAGGAAGTTCTGGAGGACTGGGCATGAATTTTTGGGGTCTTAAGATTGAAGCACTGTCAGTGTAAGTGTGGATGGGGAATCAATATGTCCACTTTGTAGAGACACAATGATTGACGTAATATTTGTATTCTACGATCCAATTCCAGTGATATTTGTTTTTTAAATCTTGCTTTGTATACCAGGACCTTCAAAGTGACCTCTTTGGAGTCTGTAAGTGACCTCTTTATGGACTAAGTGACCTCAAACTGGGATCTCAAAAGGTCACTTTGAAGGTGCTGGTAGTTGAAGTTGAGAGATTGTACAACTGAATATAAATGTATCTACTGATGCTCAGGGCTTTTTTGGTGCCCAACATGAATCTTGGAGTCAACGGAGGCAGACTACTAGTTAACCCGTCAAACCGCTGTTGTTGAATGTTTTTGAAATGGAAAACCATCGTTCATGATGAATTCAACAGAACACATGAACATGCATGCTACATTGTGTAACATCGTTTCACGTGAACAATCTATATAATATATATTGGTAAGGTGAAATGGTTCACACACGTTCACAGCTCTCACCACACACACACAAAACATGTTTTGTTGTGTAGATGATTGCTGTACCATCTTTGTCTGCTGGGAGAGTGGTGCTACATGAGCTTGGATACTCTCGACAGCAGGCAGAGCCGCTGATAAACCAATCAGGATTCTCAACAAGCCTGGTGCAAGCGTTGCTGGTGGCCAAACCCAACCTGCCTTGCCTAAAACCATCTACCTCCATATCCCCAAACTGGTTTATATCCAATTGTCACCGTTGTCACCCATGAACGTTGAAACAAATTGGTGCAATGTCCCCTCGTATATCCTTTTATGGTGATTGGAAAAGGATCTATCAGGTGCGCCAACAACCCCTGCTTCTCCAGAACCTGCACCTGACTGCTCCACACCAGACTGCTCCACCCCGAGCACCTGCGCCGTTCTTTCTGGCGAGACGGCCCGTCCCCAACTCCCCACGTACCACAGGCGTCGCCTGCTTCGCCCGTCCCCAACTCACCACGCCTCGTTGTTTCCGCGTTTTCCACCTGCCCTGCACACCTGCCCCCCCTCTCCCACCGGGGTCGCCTGCTTCGTACCACACATCGATGGGCGCCTCTAAGCCGGAAGGCCACAAGCGTTCGATGTGCACCTCACCGCCTCCGTGGCCTGGAACTCGACCTGGTCGGACGGACGGACGGACGGACGGACGGAGGTCGACGCGCCCCAAACGGCCGACCGTGTCGCGACAAGCCGCGTCGCCGGAGGTCTGGTTTCGTGGGTGTGTCGCTGTGGCTCCGATTGTTTCGCAAGAAAACACACAAAAGAGGTGAACAGAATGGAGGTGTTTTTGGAGGTTCTTGGGTTTTCACATACACGACAACAAGTTTGTTTGCTATGTAAAACCAGGTGTTTGATGCAAAACGTGCGGCCTCGCCCCTGGGATGGTCATTTTGGGGGAGGGTCAGATCCACTCCCAGGCAACGGACCAACGGATTGGGAAAAGTCCAAGTGGCGGAAAAACCAGTAGGCATAGGGATGCAGCCTCAGTTCAGTTGGAGTTTGGAAAGAAAGTAGATGGGTGGATTCCACACGTCAAAACCAAAGGAGGACAAAAAAGAAGAAAAGACTTATGAACAACTTGATGACTGATGTATGATGTATCAAAAGAATCCCTAAACAATCCAGTCCAGCTCATTCAAACTGGATGAACTTCATCAATGAAATGCATAGTTCACCCATACCCCAATATTTAGTATTTTGTAATTAATCACAACTAAAGGTTCTGCAAGAACATTGGTTTTGAACTGTGCCACTTCCCACCTCACCCCACCCACCCCCCACGTGCCACCGCGTGGCATGGTCAACCAGGGCCGCGGCGCCCGCGCCGGCGCCCGAGCGCCGAGCGCGGCAGCGGCGCTGCGCCCGTTGCGCGGGGAAGACCGGCGGAGGGCGGCCCAGCCGCAGGAGGCGCTACTGAGGAGCCAGGTGGGAGAACGGTAGCCTTTGCGTGAGAAAGCCATGGGGACTTGGTTGAAGGAGCACATTACAGTAAGTGTTGTGGTATGTTCTCTCTTTTTTGGTGTTTAGTCCTAGTTGTTCCTGATGTGGTTGTGGTGTTTCTTCATCTTCTTCTTCTTCTTCCTGCTACTACTACTACTACTACTACTCCTGCTGCTACTACTACTACTACTACTACTTTTTCTTCTTATTATTCTTTCTGTTATTATATAGCATTATGGGAAGCAGTGTACGCAATCATCTGGTCGCATTCCACCTCATAGGCCTGATTGTTTTCTTGCTAGCAAAAAAAGATGGAATCTCGCTGATGCCAGGTGTCCAAGATCCGTGGTAGCTTCTTGGAGTTATGCGTAATGATCGGGTTCCAGGAGGAGCTACTATATGCTAACACAAAAGCAATATACATGTGGCCGGCGCTCATTTGAATGAGGGAGGCCCACACCCACGAGCACACCCACGAGCTTTGGTCAATTCTCCTATGAGATGATATCGGAAGCTGATGCCAGGTGTCCGGTGGCCGGTGCGAATTAGGGAGGCCCACACCGCACGAGTTTGGGTCACAGAGTATCCCTCTTCATATCCCTCACCCAATTGGTGAAGGCATCAGCTGAGTGGGCAAACAACAAGCTGCGCAAGAGGGGCACGGAGGAGCTGCGCTTACGGGCTCAGCGCCCAACACCATTTCAGGTGCACCCACCAGGTGCACCAGTTCAACATCTGTCTCAGTGTAAGGCCAGGCTGCGGAGGGCTAAGGTGCCAAAGAGGAGACTGCAGAAGGGACTGAATCCCTGGAAGTACCTGCGCTCCGGAGTCGGTTCTGCGGCCATTCGGTTCCCTTTCAGAAGTGAAGTCAGCAGCTTGTGGGGAGAAGGTGGTGAAAAGAATGGTGGTATACCTATAGATCTTCCAACTGTGCAAATGTTCTGCCTTTTCATCTGCAACACCAGGCAAGTTCGGCAAACATTGTGCGTTGGAAGAGGTCTTGGTGTGGGTCACCCTACAAACCATGACAGGTTGACATCCCTTACAAGGAATCTGTTCACTTGACCCGGGGTCAACCAGGGTCACAGGGTTTTGACCTTGACAGGACTTGACAAGCTAGAATTGAATCTAAGGATGTGAATGTGAAGGGGAGTCGTTTGGTTCGTTGAGATCTGAAATACCTTCACTAGGGCACTAGATCCGAACATTACAGATCCACAGTTAGTGCAGCGAAAATCGATGGACCAGAGCCTGCCACCCCAAGGGCAGCGACGTTCTCCCCAGTTCTCTGGCCCAGTTCTGCCCGGTCACACGATGAACACGTCCAGCAAAGGCGGCACTTGGCCGAAGGGCGGCGGCACACGCACATGCGTGGCGAGGCTCAGGCACAGGACATAGATGCTTGGGTCAGACTCCTTGGCCGAGTGGTTCACAGACTGGAGAGAGGAGCGACTCGGGAACGAGGGACTATAGATGCCAGAATCCATGCCAAAGCATTCATGAAAGGAATCGTCGCTTGCCTTCAGTACATCTACTATTCCAGTGCCATGGATGGTCCACGGATGGTGGATGTCATACCGTCATATTGTTGTTAAACATAACTAAACAAATCAAACTCGCTGGGAAAGGACGAGTCCCATACTGTTTTGTGTTTTAGTATGTCATCCATGGACATGGATGCCTTATAGTTAAAACACAAAACAGTCCTTTCCATCAAACTCGCTGGGCTTGAAGTCTCCGTGCCAAAAAAGCCGGTGGATGCGGGAGGCCTTTCCAGTGACTGAGGGGTCTTTCCAGTGAGACTGCCAAGTGAGTCTTCCGGACAACAGGACTAGATGGAACAGCATCCCCAGGCACTTAGCTGGATTCTGGGGTCAATGTTGTGTGCAGGCATTCTGTGGTCTGGGATCTGTATGCTGTATGCCCCACAGACCGGCTAGTAAAGGAGTCCTCTCTCTCTCGAAAGAGAAAAGACTTCCTGGCGGAATCATGGGGAACAAAAGGTTAAAACGTGCTGAACATCTTTCACACATGTCTTTTGATGGTCTGGAAATTATCCAAGCCCAATCAACAAATCTGTTCCATGACCTAGAAAAGTGATTGCAAGATCTCTTTGCCGTAAACAAAGACACTCCAGTAGCCCCTCTCTTAAACCAGGCTTTGATGGGGAAGGGAGTTCCGTGTGAAGAACAATTATGAATTGTGACCAAATCATGACCAAATCCACAAGAAACATGTTTTTCATGTCCAGTTTGCACTTGCCTAGGTTATTGAATGCACAATGCCTAGGCATGTGATTGATCACCGCAAGCAGAAATCATTCAACCATTCCCATGAGCGTTTATGGCCATGTATGGCCACAAGAATCCACCGGATCCACGGATCCACAGGGCGTCCCAGGTACCTACGGACTGGACCCAATTCAGGCGCCTACATCAAAGAGTGTCCCAAACCCTAGGGATCCACACATGCCACCTTCTCGGAAGCGACTGGGACCTCCAAACTGCCCGATGTTTTGGCACCTACATAATAACAGCGTCGAACACATCACCGTACCTGAGGTTCGGTACTTGGATCCCTAGGCAGCAATATGTTCTTGGAGGATCCATACGCCAGGGATGCAGTCGTACCGAACCTCAGGTACGGTGATGTGTTCGATACGGTCATGGGAAAACCACAAGCCAACAACAGTCCCGTTCGCTCCACCCTTCGGTCCTTTGGTTGTCGGATGAAAATCCTACAGTGGCTCAGTGGGCTCAGTAAACAAAATCCCTTGTCAAACTCTTCTAAACCCAAAAGGATCTAATTTTGGACTACTTAGACTGACGAATTATAAGGGTCCACTTCCACCACCGTCCCAAACGGTCCACCGACCACTTTCCATCTCTTCACCGCCCTTGAAGTGTGGGACACTTAGACCCACAGGTGCTCCTCTCTATTCATCCTCTTGATATCTCTTGATCCATCCTCTGAACC